GTGATTCTTTTGAGTGCTTAAGTATCTCTCAATATGATTGGGTTCATTGTCATGAGCTCTCACTTGTTTGCAGATTTTGTTCTTTGCTGATCATCTAGAAGTCACGAATGATGCTGCAAGCAAGGTAACTACCTTAAAGCACAGGATATTCTTGTATATCTGCTTATATAACCTTAAGTCTATAGAAGCAGTTTGAGGTTTCAGTAAGGAATTAATGGAGATGCAAAAGATTTTGAAATAGAACTGAACTGATTCAAATGCCTTGAGGACAAAGCTTGACAGGAATACCGCAAGTGTATAAATTCTTATTGTGGGTCAATTTCATTGTATGAATAAATATTAATAACCTAATGGTATTGTAGGAACCTCTTGCTGACACTAATGCAGCTGTGGATAAGAGTGATGTGTTTGAGTCAATAGAGAGATTTGCATACTCCCCAATTCAGCAGCAAGATTCCGGAGGCTGGAGAACTACAAAAACAAAGGTCTGTAAAGATTATAACATGCATTCCGGTTTCTGTTAACTTTATTAGTCTAGTTCCCACACCTCATTTGTATTTCTGTGCAGTTGGGACTACCAAAACGCAATTTGCCAACTAGCAAGAAGCCCTAGAAAAAGAAGGTTTTCATGCCTCAGCAAGCAGAACCGGTCTGATTCATAATGAGGGATAGTCAAGGCAGCAAAGACACGGCACCAAGTTGTCATAAATCGATGTCAACCAAGGAACTTTGCTCATGTATGTGTGGCTAAAGAAAGATCGGTTTGCATCTATCTAAACTTGGCCAGCTTCGGAACTTAATTTGTTTCCCGGTTGTGCCAATCCTTATGTTCATGGTGAATGGGTTATATGTATATAGATATTCTTAGAAGGTCAAGGTAAATATGTGAAAAACAAATTCTACACTAAATAGACTTGTTAAAGCTCACGCTCACACAATACGATAATCTTCTTTTATTGAGACAACCAAATAATTGGTTTAGTTTAGTGAAAACAGAGATAAGAGTTTAAAGTTCTTCTTTAGTTCGCGTCAGCCTGTATGAAATTTGTTCTCCATAAACTTCCCCTTACTACTCAACAAATCCTCAATCCCTGAAACCACAAAATGATCACGACATGTTTTCATCTCTTCATTATATAACCTTTATACTAGTCATCATCAAAAACACACCGAACCATTAGAGAATTTCAGACAAGAAATCATATTTTAAGATATTACCTCTATCAGGACTCGGGAAGAGTATATGCTCATAGGACTCAAACCCTCCAGAATCTCCATAACTCCTCTCCTCAGTCGTCACAGCCGCATCATCGGTCTGACCAGCCATCGTTGTTGTCTGAGGCTGCTTTCGTTTGGACCGAGCTCGTCGGTTTTGAAACCAATTATAGACATTTTTCTCCGTGATTTGGCCGTGCTCAGACAGCTCCGTAGCGATCTCTTTAATCCTCCGAGGATTTGGTGTTCCACTTCCTTCCTTGTAAATGTTCTCAAGAATCTGAAGTTGCTTAGACGTTGGAGTCCATCTATGACGAGTCGACATACCATGAGCGCTTGATGATGCCACCATAGGATCAAAGTATCCTCCTCCCATTGGATTCATTCCTAGTGTATTTTCTCAAACCATTACCATAAATTATTCAGTTTACGTGACCCTTAAGTTTCATCCAAACACAACTATGGAGTTGAGACTTGCAGAGAGAAGGAAGTGTACATACCTGATGAGAGAGGAGGGAAAGAAGAGAGTGAATTGTGTAGGAGGACGAGTTGATCACAGATGATCGCGTAAATGGCGATCTGCTTACGGAGAGTCTCCATCTGCTCCTCCGTCATCACTCTACCATCATAAGTACCGTTTAGGCTCTCTTGCTCCATCTCCTCTTTCACAACTTTGCTTTCTCCTCTCTCCTTTTTATCAAATGATGAAGAAGAAGGCCAATGATAAATCTTTTAGTTTATTTGTTACCGTTAACTTTAAACACGTTTTTGGAAAGATCTAATTGACTAGGATCAATTGGTTCGATTTGATTTTTTTCCATTACCAAGTTAATTCAGGTAATTTGGGGATATAATTAGATTATAATTGATAGAATCAGATTATAAAATTTTGTGGTCATATAATCCGATTTTATATGAAATTTTTTGAGATGCCAATGAATTTAATAACAATGAAAGAAGCTAAGGTCATAACTAGGTTCGGTTTTTGTCAGTTGTTTCCACTGCTTAGATATTTTAATCGAGGTGTACCGACCAATATATCAATCCGTAGATGTCATTCACTTTCTTACTTCTGAATTCTGATACTGAAACAGATGCTGGCATATCAATTTGAGGAACACAAAACTACAATAAAACACTTCTTGTTAATGTCACACACAAACAAACACACACAATTCTGTTCTACGGAAACAGAGAGAATAAAGTAGAAGAGATTAGAGATCTTCATCGTCCTTAATGTCAGTGTATACGAATTTTTAACTCTCCAGAAATTTACCTATACTCAACAAGTGCTCAATTCCTGACACCACCAAAAAAAACAAAAACCAAATTAAACCAAACCAAATGCGAAAATTTCAAATGATATATTAAGTTTACCTAAATCAGGACTTGGGAAGAGTATATGCTCATAAGACTCTAACCCTCCAGAATCTCCACAACTCCTCATCTCCTCCGTTGACACAGCCACATCTTCAGCCTGACCATTAGCCGTCGTCGTGGTTTGAGGCTGCTTTCGTTTGGACCTCGCTCGCCGGTTCTGAAACCAATTATAGACATTTGTCTCCGTGATCTGTCCATGTTCAGACAGCTCTGTCGCGATCTCTCTAATCCTCCGACGATTCGGTGTTCCGCTTCCTTCCTCGTAAATGCTCTCGAGTATCTGAAGCTGCGTCGAAGTCGGAGTCCATCGATGCCTAGTCGACATCCTATGAGAACTTGACGATGACCCCATCGGATCAAAGTATCCGCCGACCATTGGCCTCATTCCTTTTTAATTCTCGATTCATTTTTTACCAAACAAAATTCAGTTACGTGACGCTTAAGCTTCTTCCAAGTACGTACAAAAATATGTATTGTATTACCAAAACCACAGATCGCTAATAACTCTAATTCATACCAAGGTTCTAAAAAACCGACAACTACGTGATTATACTCAAAATGTTCGGTCTAAGCGATCATAGACTATACTTCATATAGAAACTCGAGTAATTAATCAAATATATTGAGCAATTAAATCAATGATATGCGGTTGCTGCTAAACTGTCTTCCAATGTCTAAGAATATTTTAAACTTATTTCAAGGTTATGCAACGAATGTTTTGTGATTGTGTGTTGTATACCAAATGCAAACACAGACAGTTTTCACTTACACAGCTACACTATGTGCTAAACAAGCAGCTCAATGAGTAAAGTGTCTGATTAGAAATAACGTTTGCATCTCAAAACGCTGCGTTTTTGAATCTTTCTTCGTAAACACTTTTTATTTACCGTTTACATAGAAGTTCATTATATGGTCTCTCGTGAAAATTGAAGACATATAAAGTGATCGTCTGTAAATCAAAAGTACACACACACATATATGTATGTGTTCATACAGAGAAAGAGAACTAGAGGGAGAAGAGTACCTGATGAGAATGGATGGAAAGAAGAGAGAGAGTTGTGGAGAAGGACAAGCTGGTCGCAAATAACAGCGTAAACGGCGATCTGCTTACGGAGAATCTCCATCTGCTCCTCCGTCATCACTCTCCCGTTATACGCTTCGTTTTGGATCTCTCTCTCCATCTCCTCCTCTATCACTTCTCTTGCTTTTTCTCCTTTTCTCTTCTTTTCTTTTTTTTTTTACAATGAGAAGAAAGTGAAATGATATATGTATATTCCTTTGTTTATGAATAAAGGCTCTTTATTTTATTTGTTACCGTTAATTTAATACACTTTTTTTGGAAAGATCTCTTGACTAATGATCAATTAGACCGGTTTGATTATATTCTCTCTGTTACTAGCTAGTTTATTAGATTTTAGAGATACAATTGTAAATGACAAAGTTAGATTATATACAAGTGATCACAATCCGATTTAGAAAAATCTTAGATTGGTCAGATGTGTTTCACTATTTTGTGTTACGAATTCAACATTTTAATCGAGTTTTACGGGTCAAATATATCCACCATTTAAAAAAGACGAAAAAGAAAGTTTGTTAATCCAAAAATATCTAAGATGATCTTAATCCTATGTGTTGATGACATAATAAGACACGAAAGTTATATATATAATACTAACCTACTTAATTCTAGGTATTAGTAGCTTTGTTGTATTCGTAGAGGAACACAAACTCCGTTACTTACTTTATATATATTTAGTGGTTAGGTAAAAGCCGGAAGCATGGCTTAATCACAGCATAAATATAAAATATTATTGTTGTGACTTATGACTAATGATTAAACTATTAAGAAAAGATCGAAGATCATGCTTTTTTGTTTTCCATTGTTAATTAAGAAGAAAATGTATAAATTTGACCAAAAAGGTTCCTTGATTATAAAAAATTTTGATTAAAAACACAAGGGGTGAATGCGCTAATCTGCTGTTATTAGGCGGATTTCACTCTCAATCTTCGCTTTTGTCAACAATAACCAAATTTTAACATATTTCTTATATAAAACCAAGTAAATACATTATACATCCACAGAGAAACTCAAAGTCTTCTGTTAACTTTTTAACATAAGGTGAGGTGGTGAACAGAGAACCCAATGATTTTGGTGCATTTAGAAAGAAGACCACAAAACAGATTTAACATCCTATGTGGCTAAAAGTCAGAACAACCAAACCAAAACAGTAAAAAACAGGGAATACACTTTGATTAAGAGTATGTTAATGCATTGGTCAATACAAACTCGATATGAGAGCACTAATTTGGTAGGTCCTCAAATGCTCTTATATCCTTTTATCAGAGATCAAACGAGCATTATGGTAAAATAACAAATATAGGAGTAAGAAAACTAAATCGTTATATAGAGCTGCAAATCTTTCTCTCATTGACCATCTAAAACATTCTACATTCACCTTTTTTGCCATTACACGTAGAATCAGTGGGAGATAGTAGTAGATTACTAAATAGAAACATCAGTTGAAAAAAAAAAAAGGAAATAGACCCACTTTTAACCAGCCTCATTAACATTTTTAAGAGAAGATAAAAAAAAAAACATCCGAGAGATTCCTTGCAGCCTTCTATATTATGCTACCCACAACTTCCAGCTTCTCTCAGTCATCATCTTCCTCCTACAAGTATAACGGAGTTGATACAAAGGTTTACATCTTCCTACTAAAAATATAATTAGATGCAAAATGATGTACAATAACTAGTAAAAATCAACAGCTTACCTCTTCACTCCCATCCTCAGCATCATCCTCGTCGTTGACCTCTGAAACAGACTTGTCAGATTCCTCATCTTCCTTTGGACCTTCCTCCTGAAACACACAAGTCACAGCTGTTCGTCAAACACCGCACTTATAAACTAATTACCAGTTATATGAATCATCATTGTTTAATATAATCATAAGTCATAACTCTGCCTGCAACCATGTGAAAAGTATAAACATTAACACATCCTTCAATTATGTGGTTAGTGTAAAACATATCGTAATGCATACTTCAAACATGTGATTAGTATAGCCCATACTTCAATCATGCAATTAGTAAATACATAATTCTTCCTTCAATCATGTGATTTGTATAAACATAACTCATCCTCCAATGTAATGATGCAAATAACAACTCACCAGTTTCTTGTTGTATGCTTTCATGTTCTTCTCATACTCAACTTTGCGCTTGTCAGCCTTAGCAACATAAGGAGCTTTCTCCTACAATATTGTAATACCCACATGTCAAAAAAAAAAACAATCATAAATAATAAATAAGACTGTAACATGTGAATTAATAATCAACTTGAGCTAAATAGCTCAGAAAAACTTACGGAATCTGACAAGGATTTCCACTTTTCACCACCAGCTTTGCCAACCTATCATTCATTGAAATTTATTGTCAGTAATAACTTCACATACAGAGGCAACGGTGAAAAAACATCAAATAAGTTATTTGGATAGCAGGCAAATATAAACACTCACAGCAGCGACAGATTTGTTCTTGGGGTGCTCCTTCTTGTAAGTCTCACGGAAATCTTCCCTACAAAGTCATAAGTCAACGCAAGTTTCAGCACACAGAATTTAAAGTAGAAACAATTTGCGAATAATTTGTGACACTAATTGGATTTTGCAGTCAACGTTCCAGAGCATTAAGGAATGAAGCTAATCATCTCAATTTGAACAGAATCACTGAAACGAAACCTGAACTAATATACGCAGAAAATTGAAGAATCAAAGGAGACAATTACATGAAAACGAAGAAGGCACTTGAAGGCCTCTTAGGTTTGTTAGGATCCTTAGCAGCACCTTTGCCTCCCTTAGTAGGCTTCTTAGTCACAGAGAGCCTATCATCACCACAAAATTGAAGTTAAGAATCACAAAACAACAACGATTTGACCACGGATCTGGAATCCAGAGATCTCGGAATTAACTCGGAAACAAATAAACATAAAAAAAAATATATCACAGAAGAATCGATCGATGTGAAAACTCACTTTGAGCTCCTGGTTTCAGCTTTCGATTTACCTCCTTTCATGATCGATTCTGCAGAAAAACAAAAACAAAAACGAGATCAGCAAACAAAGTACAAAAATACGATATGGAATTAAACAGAGAGAAATTTTTTAATAAAAAAACAACTACGGAGACAAAATTATCACAATCTAGAGATCGAAACGCACAAAAACAAGACGAAAACTGGAAAAAATCAACAAAAAAAAAATCGGGTGAAATTACCTTGAAGAAGAAGATCTTCGTAGGGTTTGAAGAGAGAGAGAGAATAATAAGTACGTGTTTGTGAATTGTACGCTTTGTGAATGATTCGAGTGAGAGGCCGAGAGATGGATGAGAGGGTTAAGTGGAGGAATGTGATAAATATCTTATGAAAGCAAAAAAAAATTAAAAAAATTAAAAGATAATATTCAATTTCCCACGACATGTGAAAACAAAAAAAGATCTTAGGGGTTTAGGCGGGATTTCAAATATATTTCGCCACGTCAACGATCCTTGTGGTTTCTCGTTACTGGCTTTTCACATTCTCGCGCTTTTTTTTTTTCTTTTATTCCTCTCCCGCCTGTGTTTTCTTGTGTGCTTCGTAAATTTTTGTACTTGGTTTTACTTTTGTACCGCATGTTTTATTCAAAGCGATAAATATAAAAAGATCGGTTAGGTTCAATTTCGAAAGCGCATCTTTATGACCGGATCATGCTCTCGAATCTTCTTCTATTTCCTCATAAGCTATAAATTATGTTTAATTTCCTTTTAATTGATAACTTGCTCTTTCTGATCAAAAACTAAAGTCAACATCCCTTCTTCTATTATTTTACAAAATTTGCGTAATTGTAAGTCAATTTAGCCAAACTTGATTGTTTAACGTCTGTGAAACACCTTGAAAGAGCGAATTTGTGGTTAAACCTACAAAAACCTAACTTGTCATGATTACGAAGAGAATCACTCTGTGACTGTGAGGTCATTCATGGTACTACAACCTTATATGGAAATATAATGAATCAAGCTAGAGAGTTCAAGGCACATAACCACTATTATAGTCACATTTCCTTACAAACTACAAAAGATTTATTCAACACCATTAACGATAAATTGCGAAAAGGTAAGAAGAAGAACAAAAAACTAAATCGTTTTATAGAGCAAAGAGTACAGAGCTGCAAGTCTCTCTATCACCATTCTAAACATTCTACAATTCACTATCTCCTCCATCCGAAGGGATTTAGTGGGAGGAGGTTGTGGAAATACAAAGAGAGACCCCTTTTTTTAATCATCCCCATTAACATTTCAAGTAAGAAAGAAAAAGATAAAAGCCCAGAGAGATCTTTGCAGCCATCTATACTAATGCCACAACCTTGCAACTCTTAGTCATCGTCCTCCTCCTGCATTTTAATTATACACACCAAAGTAACAAGAGTCAAAATCAAAGCTCTTTCTATATAAGTGGTATGATGTATAAAATAGCTTTAAAAGACACAACCACTAACCTCTTCACTACCATCCTCAGCGTCATCCTCGTCATTGACCTCTGACACTGACTTGTCAGATTCCTCATCTTCCTTTGGACCTTCCTCCTGAAACAACCACAAACATAGCAATGATTGGTCAAACAACTCAATAACTATCACTCTATTAACTTGACATAATTGACATTTGATTTACCAGTTTCTTGTTGTAAGCTTTAATGTTCTTCTCATATTCCACCTTGCGTTTCTCAGCCTTGGCAACATAAGGCGCTTTCTCCTGAAATTTTGTAAAACACACACACATATTATTAGACTTACGTTAAGCAACGTGATATTTGATATCATAACACAAATCTGGTCAAACTGTTCAGAGAGAAAGAGAGGACGTACAGAATCTGACAGGGATTTCCACTTGTCTCCAGCAGCTTTTCCAACCTGTAATCCATTGAAATCCACCATCAGTACAAACACTTTATAAACCCACAAGAGTAAGGTACAACAACATATAGAAGAAGTTTTGAAAATGATCAGAAATAACACTCACAGTAGCTACAGACTTGTTATTAGGGTTTTCCTTCTTGAATGACTCACGGAAATCTTCCCTAGAGATTCACAAAAAGTCAACACGAGTATTAACACACAGACTCATTGGAACCATCAACAATCAAATCAAAGTATGGACAATATGAGATTCGTTGGACTAGTATCAGATACCCTTTGACTCAACGATAGCAGACAAAAGATTCTTATTAATCTCACCTTAATAGAATATGGGTAGTAGCCAGATGACAAAACTTAGTACGGGAATAAGTTTTTATCCAAGCAAAACTACTGAACACAGAAAATTTGAAGAATCGGAGGCAAGGATTTACATGAAAACGAAGAAAGCACTGGCTGGCCTCTTTGGTTTGTTTGGATCCTTAGCAGCTGCTTTGCCTCGCCCTGCTCCTTTAGCAGGCTTCTTTGTCACAGAGAGCCTATCATCACAAACAAAACTCTTCAGAAAACAAACAACATGGACAGTAATCTAAAATTTCCAGAGATCTAACCAAAAAAAATCAAAAATCACAAATAGATCTAATCTGAAACTTACTTGGAGCTCCTGGTTTCAGCCTTCGATTTACCTCCTTTCATAATGGACTCTGCAGAAATTTCACAAGATGAGTTAAGAAACAAGTATATATCAATCTAGAGAACATTTGATTCTATATATTAAAAGGATAATTGAAATATCATCATCTAAGGAGATCGATACACATGATCGAAATGAATTCGAGATGCTACAAAACCTTAAGTAATTACAGTATAAATCGCAGACATCTACAACATGAAATTCATATATCAAAACACACAAAAATCAATTTGGATTAACCAATCATATCGCCTAAACAGATCGAAATTTCGAGATACGAAACAGGGAAATGAAATTAAAACTAGAAAACGAAGAGAATCGAATGAAATTTACCTTGAAGACGAAGAGCGTAGGGTTCGAATAGAGATAGAGAGGAAGAAGGAGTTGAGCGAGTTTGTGATTTGTACGCTTTGTGGGAGAAGAAGATTCAAGTGAGAGGAGGCTAGTGGGGGAGAAAGGTTTGTAAAATATCTTTGGTCAATCAATAAAAAGGATATTGGGGAAAAAATTGAAATTCGCACGAAATGTAAAAAACTGAGGGGTTTAGGCGGGATTTCAAATATATTGTGCCATGTCATCGATCCGTGTGGTTTCAGTTTATTGGCTCTTCCCTTTTCAAGTTTTGATCTTTGCCTTGGCTTATGTGTTTCCTCTTGTGCTTCCTCTCAGCGTGAGTATTCAGCGGCAAGTGATATGACTCATTGCCCTTATTTTGGTCCTGAATAATTAATTTTAAAATCATGGCAGTAATTACGAATCATTTTTATTCGCATTAATATGTCTATCTCCTCGAGGATCCGGTTCGGTTTGCTGCGTCGGTCATCTGGTTCGATTTGAATTTATTATTTTTTGTAGGGCTTCTGATTTTAAAAATGTCCGGTTTATGAGAAATTGCTCTCTCTATATATGAGTTCCTGCATCGCCGCCAAAAAAAATGGTTACTGATCCTCCAATCGTCCATGGATCTTCCTCTTGCTTTGCTCTCTAGACTCTAGTCTTAGATGTTCGTTTATATTTACTGTTCAAATACATTAAAACTCTTTTTGAGTTAGGATTAGAACTTATGTGGTACAGAGAGAGAGCAGATGAGGAGAAACACTTGATCTCTAAACTTCTCAAGTAAGTTTGCTTGTTGATATAAAGGTATGCAGTATGCTGATGCTCTCTCTCTCTCACACACACTGTGCAACTGATTGAGATTTTATTCCTGAGATAGATGGTGTGAGACTTTGATGTGATTATCTGATAATATTAGAAGAAAATTCATTTTGTAGTAACTTGTATACTAGAGACTTAACATTGATACCAAAAAAAAAAAAAACTTGTATACTAGAGGAATGATTGATTCTATATATGAAGTTAATCCTAATGCATTGGAGCAGGATCTTTAGAAAATGTATCAAACATGTTTCATGAAATGCCTGAGAGAAACTATATTTTAATGTAAAAGTCTCTGTGGATATGATCTGATTTTGAAGGCTTTGTGAAGCCTCTTTGTCTGTCTCAAGGAATTAGGTAGTGAGAGAGGAGCAAGTGAGTGCTATGATCCAGAGCCTATATATTATTTTTTAAAAGAAGCACCAATTGGTGTTATTTTGGGAGTTGGTTGCATCTTATGCAACACGTTCCAACATGCAAGCTCTTTTTCCTCCATTGGTACATTCTTGATATGCCTTGCTAGTGCCTCACTTGTAGTTATCGGAGCATTGTGTAAACTGAGATTGCTTTTTTCGTCCCTGATATCAAAGTCAGGAGATTGATCTTGGCTTTTGATGCGAAAGCATTGGATGGAAACAAGAAGGAACCAGTCGTGCTTGCTCTGTCTCGGAATTGAACGCCATCAATCTCCCGTCGTTTCTCAACCAGTGAAGATTGAGTTTCTTCCGCTTCTTGAGATCACTTTTTGAGCTAGTGGGGAACTGGTGATGGTAGGTTTCAATGGCCTCCAAGAGTCTATGTGGCTGATCTCGAATCTGTACATTTTTTTCATCTCAAGTATTGAGTTATTACTGCACCAGTTTCTGGCTAAGCTGTTACTGCATTTTTTCGCTCAGCTTCCACTGATTTCAATGTTTTCAAAACCATGTATGAGAAACCATGAGTTTGTCAACTCCTGACTGAGTTAGGTTATGTATTACAATCTATTGACCGTAAAGAGATTCTGATATGTGTTGTTATTGTAAGAAAACTCGGGTTCGTATAAATTAGGGGTTTGACGCTTATGAAAGCTTGTTTCTTGTAAGACAAGCTATTATTTAAGCACACACAAGGCGATGCTTGTTTCTTCCAATCAATTTCTGCTCCGTTTAATCACGAGTCATTGGATACCTCTCACGGAAGATACAGTTGGCATCAGGTTCCAGTGGCCTAAAAACGTTCAGAAGATTTTAACACCTAGAGTTAAGATTCAGATCAATTAGGGAAAAGACCAGCCTATGACTTCACACCCTCACTCAGAAATTTTTATCATGAACATACACTGCTAGTAAGTAAAGAGAAGCAAATGGTCTCCCAAGAAACCCATACAAATAAGATGTGTTACTAGAACAAAATTTAGAATATGCAAACAGTCAACAGAAGGTTTCACAAAGTACCTTTTGCGATGTCATAAAAAATAGGGAACAAGACATCTGTCTGTATCATAGTTGCTCATTATATCTTGGAGAACAGAAGTCAATCTCTCGGAAACCATTCCAGCATCAACAACATGCTTAAAAGGCAGAGGTATAAATGGTCCATCTTTGGTTTCTCTGTTGAATTATTTTGAAAACAAAGGCTTAAAAAGAGAATGGGGAAATTGAGTTCTGTACTTCTAAATCCATTCAACATCCTTACTTCAAAAATGGGAAACTAGATTATGGTGTGTTGACAAAAAAAAAAAGATTATGGTGTAACAAATATTACATGGGCCTACTACGGCCCAAACAACTTATCCATTACACTTTCGGCACGTGCGAGTTCACAAACATGTAGAAGAGGTTTTTTAATTATTTTAGAAAAAAAAAAAAAAAAAACTTAAGAAACACAAAACCAAAACGCCTGTCTAGGAGGAGAAAGAGAAAGGGGGAAGAGAGAGAGAGAAGAGAGAGAAAGAGGAAGAGAGAGAGAGAGAGAAAAATGGGTGAGGTAGCAGATACAATGACGAAGAAGAAGAAGAAAGGAAGGCCATCTCTATTAGACCTTCAAAAGCGAGCTATCAAACAGCAACAATTACAGCAACAGCAACAACATCATCATCAAGAGGACGATGACCACCACCACCAGCATAGATCCGGTTCCAAAAACCCTAATTCTCTCAATCACGGCGCCAACTCCGCCTCCCGATCCAAACGCCGGAACCCTAATTCAAACGGCGTAACATCCGATTCGGCCTGGATCAAAGATGAAGACAACAGCATCGAGGACAACGACGAGGACGAGCGGCGTGAGAAGAAACATAGGCTTTTACATGGATTGAACTCTCACTCTCATCGACATTCTCCTAATTCCCAATCGGATCTGAATCTCGACGAGACTCCCGAGGCTTCCGCCAATAGACGCAAGATCAGCGGCGGATCTAATCACACGGTAGATATTGAATCCAATTTAATTTTATTTTGAGAAATTAATTAGGTTTTTTTAAAAAAATTACTTAGTTGTGGGTGGGGGATTTCGCGCGTTTGTTCTGTTCGTCTTCTCTGCTTGAATATTTAGAGATTTTGAGTGAGTGGGATTTGAGTTTGTTTGACTGAGTCATTTCTTTTTTTATTGGTTGGGTTGGGGGAGGGAGGGAGAATTCATAATTCTGCTTTTTCCTGTAAATTAAATTTTCCCTTTTTATTTTTTGTCTTCAGCTAAGAAACTTCTTGTGTGTGTGTTAATCAGTTTTTATTCTATTTGCTTTTAATTTTGGAGAATTTATGTATTGAATGAATATTATAATATTGATTTCACTGCTAATTAAAATCCGTAGATTATACCTGAATTTAAAGATATATACCCTCTGCACTGAAACCATTCCTGTCTGAAACAAGTTCCGATTTGTCTTTTCCTTAACTATCATCAGTTTCTTAGTTTTGAGTGTATGTGTGTTTATCCTTTGGTTCTTTCTTTGCTTTAAACATGAACATGGAAACATGCACACAAATATGTAATGCTTGTTTCCTCTGTTATACTACCATGAAAGCTTACCTTTTTTAAATAGATGGTGATAAGCTGATGCTCTGTTGTTTATGGGTTTACTCTGCAGGGAGAAAAGGCTTCGAAAGCGACAGACAACATTCTTCAAGGTATATATCAAACTCTTTTTTATTTTTGTTTTATTAAATCCCTTTATTTAATTCTTGAAAAGGCAACAAAAACTGGAAAATTCGTACGAGGATAAAAGCGAGGATTTTTCTGCTGAAGGGGGAGGAGGAAAGGGATTAAATTATAAACTTTTTTTTTTTAATTTGTTGGTTTACATGTGGATAGGGTCTCCCGTGGAGTCTGGCCCCACTACACCTTTGCCAGACAAAAAGTTGTTGGTGTTCATCCTCGATAGACTTCAAAAGTATGCTCTCATCTTCCTTCTTCTCTGTCATATTCTTGTTTTTGCTCTTTTGGTTGAAGAGCAACTGGGTTTCGTTTTTCCCTGATCGTCGTTGTTAACCACTTGAAGGAAGGATACTTATGGCGTTTACTCTGACCCTGTTGATCCTGAGGAGGTGAATGTCTCTTTACTTCCCTTTTGTTGGTGTTTAAGCTCCTTGTTTTTCAGTTTGTCTTATCTGTGTTTCGGTATGTGTTTTACAGCTTCCTGATTATCACGAGATTATCACGAATCCTATGGATTTTAGCACTGTGCGGAAGAAACTAGATTCTGGATCATATGCCAGTTTAGAACAATTTGAGGTAAGTCTTGTCCTCTGAGTTCATTGCACTCTTCCTCAATGCTTCTCCTTGCGCTTTCCATGTGTTTGAGGTGGTTCCACATTTGATAGTTAGAAATTTTTGTTGCTTAGCATCTTTGTTTCGAAACTTTCTTTGTGGCTTCTTGTGGTTTATGGAGGGCCATTGGGCGATGTTGTTTGCGTGCATTTTTTTATGAGACAGCTAATCAATGAAGATACATACTTGTAGTATAGGGTGCACACCTAAGGCTGTTTCAGAAGTTGCGCTTAACTCAAAGTGACTGTTGATCTCTTTAGACTCAAATTGTCTTCCAGTTTGAATATATGTGAATTTGTGAGGAGATTGGTGTTGGAACAGCTTGCTTTTTGCCGCTCTCTGTTTAATATCGCTTCTTGCTCTGTTCTTTTTTGCAGAGAGATGTGTTTTTAATATGTACAAATGCAATGGAATACAATTCATCAGACACTGTATATTATCGACAGGTATGTCCTAGATTTTGATGATTATGTTTTGAGCTATTCTTGTTTTGATATTAAGTTCCCGGTTTCTGAAAACAGTATGTGTTTTGGCTTATAGGCACGTGCTATACAAGAATTAGCGAAAAAGGACTTTGAGAATTTAAGGCAGGACAGTGATGATGAAGAACCACAAAACCAACATTCACAACAGCAGCAGCAGCCAAAAGTTGCCAAAAGAGGACGCCCGCCAAAGAAACAGCCTGAACCATCTTCCATTGACCGTACTGCTTCTGAAATATCAGCTGATGCGCTCATTCCCGGAGGAGATAGCTCTAATAAATTTTCTGGTGCTTACAATCTGAGAAAGACGCCTCCATATAAGTTCCGTCAAGCAGAATCATCAGTTAGAATCAATCATAACAGCGAGACCCAAAGTGGTTGGTCGATAGATTGGGAGAACGAATTTCCATGTAAAACAATCTCTGCCTTTGCTCTGCCTTCTTTTAGAATTACTTTTTTGCCAATATGAACCATCTTCTTGGTTTCTTTGTAGCTTCGGTTGTGAAGGCGGTTAACAAGTATGGAATGAAACATTTCAATGTTGATGAAAACAGACGTGATACCTACAACAACCTCTCGACATCTACCCAGGAACCGTCAGTCTTGACAACTCTTGAAGACGAGTTAAAACAGTTGATTCCAGTATGTAATTGCCAACACTAGTTTAGCCCTTTGTATATATATATATAGAAACAAGAGTCTGATCATTGCTTTTCCTATTCATCAGGTTGGCCTAAACACTGAGTATGGTTACGCGAGGAGTCTAGCACGATACGCTGCAAATCTCGGCCCTGTTGCGTGGAAAATTGCTTCAAGGAGAATCGAGACAGTATTGCCCCCTGGAATCAAATTTGGTCTAGGTTGGGTTGGAGAGAACCCAGCAGGATCTGAAGGGGATGATTCTCAAAAACAAAACTTATTAACGTCAATCGGAAAACAAAAGTGTTCTAATGACTTAGCGTCTGATGATCATTCCAACAGAATTCTGTCTCCAACCGCTTCAGTCTCGAGCGCTTTCATAGGAAACAGACATTCTTCTTCTCAAACCATCGAAGAGACCGCACCACCACCTGCTCGTGTCTTGAATCCAGAGACCGATCACGCATCATCCTCCTCTTCCCGCCAGGCTGGACCGCTGATCAAACTAGAGAGTAGCAACGGCGTCATCCGCGGATTTGGTGGATTCAGCCATAATGCAGATCAGATGCTCGGAACAGCGAGACAGCAACAACCAAACACAAGCAACGAGGCCACACCGAGCTCGCAACAACAAGGGTTGTTGTTTCCTTACACCAAACAGGAATTCCACCGGTTTCCGCCAGACCTGAACGCAAGGCTAGTATCACCAAACTCGCCGGGCTCTAATCAGCAGACAGGTTCGTCCTCATCGCAGCATCCGGATCTGGCATTACAGCTCTGAAGATGAATATGAATATTTGAAAGAAGAAGAAGAAGAGGCAATTGGTCCACTGGCTATCTCAGCCATATATTTTCTGGTATGAAATCTTGTGGAAAGTCATGGCTTGATTATTTTGTTGTGACATGAAAATATATGGGACAAGTCTCTCTCTATTGTACAGATTGTTGCAACTTCCATATAATTTTTTTAGGGGTAAAAAGAAAAACCACAGGAGTCACGCAGGCTGTAGAATATAATTTATATTTTAAATTTTCCCAGAATTATTTTTTTCAGATCTATGTTTTTTAACATTTAACCAAAAAAATCAAGCAAAAAGTATTGTTAGATCTGTGTCCCATTAGCATTTGGGTTTTGTGTTCGTTGTCAGTTTCTTTCTCGAAGACTTTAGCTGGCTTCGATATTCAAGTTACCCGGTAATTGGATATTCAGATATTTCTGTGAAATGATAGTTAATTACAAAAAATTGTTATGAGTACTCTCCATTTGCACACGATAATGTTACTATGTGCTTGATCAGGAACACACTAAAGTCAGTTTTTCACCCCCTTGAAATAATTTTTCTAGTGTATCATTGACCATCTACATTTCAAAATGTAAATTACATTAGAGCAAAAAAAAATATAGATTTATAAATAAAATGGAATTCTCAAGTTTGTAAAGTATACAACAACGTAACTGAACTCATTAAATTGTATATAGAGAATCAAGGTGTTCTCGTGTACGTTCAATAGTGGTTATATTTTTGTCGAGAGAGAGGGGGCTCACCGTTCAACGCGTCACGAGATTTACATGAACGTCTTTGTTTGGTGGGTCTCAACGTCTCGTGATATTTTATTTTTCCTCTCAATTCATTGGGTTTTGTCACTTCACCAATAATAATAGTCAATTACTCATATTATTTAATATTCATCCCGTTTCATTTCATGCATGTATGTGAGGCAAACGTTCTTGGATTCCGAATTTTACATGTACGAATGTTTGGACTCGAACAATACATTATACGTTAAATTAAATTAAAATATATACTAGTATGCTCAAAATGACGTAAATGTTTTTATATGGACCATTACGCACTGAAAAACCCTAGTTCCTTGTTTTTTTTTTCTTTATCGTCGATGATAAAAGACTCGCTAGCTAGGGTTGTTTCTTGACGGAAAGGAAAAAAACAGAGAGACTAAAGGGCAGCGATGAAAACACGGCGCAACACACGATCTTGTTCGAATTCAAGGAACAGAGCTGAAAAAACCTCTGAAACGATACACCTCCCATTCGATCTTGTTATCGAGATATTCATGAGATTACCCGCCAAGTCTGTAGCGAGATTTCACTGCTTATCGAAACTATGTGCTTCAACACTTAGCAATCCAAATTTCACCGATGCATTCTTCATCAGATCTTCGTCTCGCCCGAAGCTATTGTTCAACTGCCCTAAAGACGGCGAAACGTTCTTCTTCTCATCACCAAAGCCTCGAGACGACTCGTCTCCTTTAGCGGTCAGTTTTCATAAGAGTTTCCCAATTAATCGTCCCTTTGATATTTGTCGTCCTGTTTCTGGCTTCGTATACGGATTCAACTATCATAAGACTTCCACGGGGAGAACAGTGTCTGTGCCACTGATATGTAACCCTAGCACAGGACAATCCTGGACCTTACCCAGTGTGAAAACGAACAGAACTATAATCACAAGCTATTTTGGGTATGATCCGATCGACAAAGAGTTCAAAGTATTGTGTATGACCCAGTCGTATTTGGGGGAATTTGGGGAGCAAAAAGTTCTGACATTAGGAACTGGAAAAAAACTGTCATGGAGGAAGATCAAATGTGACATGCAACATTTTCCTTGTCCGGTGGAAGGTGAACCTAATCATCATTATCCTCTATATGATGGGATATGCATCGATGGAGTTTTGTATTACTTAGGCATGGTCAGGGGTGACGCTGACGGGTTTCCTGATATAATTTGCTTTGATATTAAATCTGAGAAGTTTAGTTATGTAAAGAAAACTCATGGCATGGAACGTAACTCAGGATCGGTGCTTGAACAAACCCTGGTCAACTACAAGGGTAAAATAGCTAAGTTCCAGCCCAAATTTGATGAGCATGGCACAATACTTACAGGGATTCAACTATATGTTTTAGAAGATGCGGAGAAACATCAATGGTCGAGCTATATCTACGTAATGCCTCCTCCTTGGAAGAGCATAGTTGAAGAGACCAAGTTACGATTTGTTGGAACAAGCGACACGGGTGAAATTGTGTTGTCGCCATACAATATATCCGACTCTTCCTACCTTCTCTCTAAATGATAGAAAAATCATGTTTCGCTCTTTTCACGGATAAGTTTTGTTACGTGCAGGACCGGTCTACGAGGATGCTGATTGGAGCAGGGGATGAGTGTGATGGGGTCTATCTTTTCCGTGGTGCTATGATGGGTCAGGCAAATTCTGTTGGTCTTCTTGGCAGTGGTGCACTGTGGCATCGTCGTTTGGGGCATCCGTCACTATCTGTTTTTACACATTTATCATGTTTTGTTGATGTTGGTTCTAAAGATCAGTTGTCATTACCTTGTGACGTTTGTGTACGATCAAAGCAACCACATTTCAGTTATTCTCTTAGTAGTAATAAAGCTGATGCTATTTTTCATCTTATTCACTGCGATGTCTGGGGTCCCTATAGCACTCCTTCTACTTGTGGTTCTTCTTATTTTCTCACGATTGTTGATGATTATTCACGCTCGGTTTGGGTGTGTTTAATGCGGGCTAAGAGTGAAGTCAACACTCTTCTTCGTAATTTTTGCGCCATGGTCACTCGTCAATTTCACACGAATGATCGTATGATTCGTAGTGACAACGGTTCTGAGTTTATGGGGTTGAAACCGTGGTTTGCGTCTCAGGGAATTATTCATCAAACATCGTGTGTTGGCACTCCACAGCAGAATGGTCGTGTTGAGCGTAAACATCGTCATATATTGGATGTTGCTCGCTCTCTTCGTTTTCAAGCCGCTCTTCCTCTAGAATTTTGGGGAGATTGTGTTCTCACGGCTTGTTATCTAATCAATCGTACGCCTTCGTTTGATCACCTTCGTGTGTTTGGTTGTTTGTGTTATGCACACAAAGGGACTGTAATTCGCAAAAAGTTTGATGAACGTGCTTCTCGTTGTGTTTTTCTTGGCTATCCTCATCATCAGAAAGGTTGGCGAGTCTATGATCTGGAAAAGAAGGAATATTTTGTCTCTCGCAATGTTGTGTTTAATGAAAGCATGTTTCCCTTTGATGCTTCTACTCCGGTTGTAGTTGAGTTATCTCCAATGCTTCCCTCTACACTTTCTGTTTCTTCTGAAGAGGATGCTTCCCCTTCTTCTCCACTTTTGTCTGCCATGGATGACAGGGGGAGTTCGAGTTTTCAACCTGCAGATTCTCGACCAATCGATCCTTCTCCTCGACCGATCGATCCAAATGCACAAATTGTTCCGGACACTTGTGGACCGATCGATCCTTCCTCACGATCGATCGATCCAAACGCTTCTGTTTTTCCTGAAGCTCCTCGACCGATCGATCCCTCTACTCGATCGATCGATCCGGAAGCTCCGCATTTTCCAGAAATTGATGGATCGATCGATCGTCCTCTCCGACCGATTGATCTACCGTCTGTTTTGGTTGCTTCTGATGATGCTACCATGATTGATCCTCTTCGTCCACCTGAACCAGCTGAGCAGTTAGGTAGGGGTCATCGTCAAGAAGAGGTCGGTTCGTCTTGAACCTTATGTGATGTATTCGGCTCATGCTTCTCCACAACCCACACACTCATCACCTCAGTCTGCTCCCGGTTCTTCAAGTACTCCATATCCCATTGCTAATTACGTTTGTTCTGCAAATTTTTCAGACTCATTTCAAGTGTTTCTTGCCAATGTTACTGCTTTCACGGAACCGCGTTCTTTCAAAGATGCTATGGAATTTGAGGTTTGGCGTCAAGCAATGGGTTTCGAAATTACAGCTTTAGAGGATAATAACACATGGGAACTCACTGACTTACCGCCAAATAAGCGTGCCATTGGATGTAAATGGGTTTTCAATATCAAGTTTAACTCTGACGGTACGCTAGAACGCTATAAAGCACGCCTTGTTGCTCTTGGTAATCGTCAGGAAGCGGGTGTTGATTTTGACGAGACATTTGCGCCGGTGATTAAAATGAACACTGTTCGTACTTTTCTCAATGTTGCTGCTTCTCGTAATTGGGAACTTCATCAGATGGACGTACACAATGCGTTTTTACATGGTACTTTGGATGAAGAGGTATACATGCGTCCTCCTCCGGGTTTCCTCTCTTCCGATCCACGCAAAGTTTGTCGGTTGAAGAAGTCTTTGTATGGTCTGCGTCAAGCTCCTCGTTGTTGGTTTGGTACGCTTCAGACTGCTCTTCTGGACTATGGTTTTCGTCAGTCAGCTTCTGATTATTCGCTCTTCTCTCTTGTTCACGGCTCCACGGAAGTTTATCTCCTTGTGTATGTTGATGACTTAGTTATCGGGGGTAATGACTCAGCTTCTATTTCTGCTTTTAAGGCATATCTTTGTCGCCAGTTTCATATGAAAAATTTGGGTTCCCCTCGTTACTTTCTTGGTCTCGAGATAGCTCGTAATGCTGAGGGTTTGTATTTATGTCAACGAAAATACTGCTTGGATATTATTGCTGAGGCGGGCTTACTAGGCTGTCGTCCCACTGATATTCCTATGACTCAAAACCATAGACTTGCTCGCTCTACGGCTGAACCATATGCTGACCCTACTCAATATCGGCGCACTGTTGGTAAATTGATTTATCTCACTCTTACTCGCCCGGAACTTTGTTACTCTATTCACATTCTCTCTCAGTTTATGAAGAAGCCCACTAATGACCATTGGGAAGCTGTGCTTAAGGTTCTTCATTACTTGAAAGGTTCTCCGGGCCAAGGTCTTCTTTATCGAGCAAACACGGATTTGATTCTTACCAGCTACTGTGATGCTGACCATGCTGCGTGTCCATTGACGCGTCGCTCCTTGACGGGTTATATTTTCTTTCTTGGAGGTTCTCCTATTTCCTGGAAAACAAAGAAACATGACACTGTCTCTATGTCTTCCGCTGAGGCTGACTATCGTTCTATGTCTTGGACTATGAAGGAAGTTAAATGGCTTGTTCCTCTTCTCGATTTTTTTGGTGTTGTGCAGCCCGGACCGGTCCCTTTTCATTGTGATAACAAAGCTGCCATTCATATTGCAAACAATCCAGTTTTTCATGAACGTACTAAACACATTGAGCTCGATTGTCATCATATTCGCGATTCGATAATTGCTGGTCTCATCAAACCGATGTTTGTGCGTTCAGAGGATCAAGTTGCGGATATTTTCACCAAGGCTCTAGGCAGTCTTCAGTTTCTTTATTTGCTATCCAAGTTGGGCATTTGTAATCTGCATGCTCCAACTTGAGGGGGAGTATTGTGATATATTGTGATATATAGGCTATGTTATAAAGCCCACTAACATATGTATATATATGGTTGTACATCATTATGGTTAATACAGAAGTTGATTCCGCACGTACTTTGACACTCTCCTATGATCCCGAGAGGAACACTTTGACTAAAGTTGGAATCAAAGGAATGGAAGCTTTGAAGCCTCACAAATCTTACGCCTTTCTAGATCATGTGGAGAACGTTGTCAAGATTGAGCCTGCAAGCTAGCTCTTAAAAAGCCTAGTCATTTTGTTAGATTAATGCTATTGCTTTTTTTTTTTTTTTTCATTCTGATCATGATGATGGTATTTTACGACGACTAGATCTCTTCTCGTAGTATTTTCATAAACATGTCAGTCGTGGTTGTTTTTCTACATAAAACTCTTATTCTTTTCATGAGACATCAGACTTCTCGAATTGTGTGACTCCTATGTTAGTCATTATCCGTTACAGGTAAAAAAGAAACACTACACATCTATTTATTTGGGTATATATATATTTAATGCCATTAACAACAAGCTCTAAATAAAATCAACAATAATGTCATAAAGATGAAACAGCTTGCTGTCTGCGGATAAAGAGAGAGAAAAAAAAGAAGTAATTGAATAGGCAAAGATACAATAGAAAAAGATTGGGGTGAAAAATCCAAAACTTATCAGCTAACAATTTTTGATCAAAAAAAAATCAGCTAACAATTTGATAGGGGGTTCCAAAATAAGTAGAGCCATTGTTATAACTATCACGCTTCGTCGAGTAGGGTATATTTTCTAAAACGGCAAATAAAGTCAACAATGCATGCAAAGGAGAGGGACTCAGCTCAGGATACAGTGTGTGTGTGTGTGTGACCACTAGTACTAGTAGAAGAAGTACGAAAACTTGAAGAAAAAAAAGAGACCCACATCTCCACTTGAATACGTAACGTAAGGTAAGGTCCGTCCATTTGTCGAGATATCTCTCAACTTCAAACATCCAATGTCGGCCTCATGGGTGTTCGAGAGAGAGAGAGAACACTGTACTGTTCTGATGAGGGTAGAATAGTACATTGAAATCACGAGGTGGACCTTTGATCATTTATATATATCGGGGATGATGATGATGATATAAAGGAAAGAAAGAATAGTTTTTAATTTATATATCGGGGATGATGATGATGATATAAAGGAAATTTAAATTTTTCTTTTTTGTGGGAAATTTATTTAAATTGTTTTGAAACCAAAAGATAGAATAGAGTGAGAAAAGAATTATTGATTTCTTTAATAACAACGACAAAAGAAAAAAGAAAGAATTGGGTCCTATAGTTCGAAAACAACAAAACGAAACACTTGTCGTCGTCGTCGTCTTCTACAACTTAAATACTTAATTTAGAGTAGCTCCAACTAAATAACTAGAAATATAAGCTTTATACCAAAGGTAGAAGAAGAACAACAACAACAAAAAGGGGTAGTTGTTTAAATAAGTGGCCCGTGATTTTTTATTTCTACTGTTTTACCTTCTTTCTTTTTTTTTCTTTTTGTAGATCCTTGTCATGTTTTGTCGTGATTAGATGTAATTTTGTATAATTTTAGTAACTCTCCAAGTTTTTTTTTTTTATAATATTTTAATTTCTCTCTCTCTCTCTCTCTTCTCTCTTGTTGCAATCTATCGCCGATTCAATCAATAATCTCTGCTAAAAGTTTGTTCCTTTGTTTTCTGGAATTATCCATAGGATAAACAGAGAAAACCAATCAAATCTCTCTCTCTCTCTCTCTCTTTTTTACTTTCAGACCCAAATCCTAGGATTTCTTTCTAATAATTTGTCAGGTTTTGTGTGTCTGTCTCTCTGGTGTGGGATTTCCAGGAGCTTGGTTTCTTAGAACCAGCTCCATTTCTGAATCTTCTTCTTCACTCCCCCATTGTTGTAGTTGTGTGAGAAAATAAAATGACTTGCTTCTCTTGTTTGAATCCTCGAACTAAGGACATCAGAGTCGACATTGATACAGCTCGATGCAACAACTCTCGCTACCCAACCGATTCATCTGGTTCTTTTTTTCTTTCTTTCTTTCTTTCAATTCCAATTCGAAAACTGAAACTTTCACTGTTGTTTTTTTCACCTCAAAGGTTTCGTTTTTATTTATAAATGGTTCTTTTTTTGGGTGTGATTTCAGCTCATGGAAGTGATACTACCACAGGAACAGAGTCGATTTCGGGTATCTTAGGTGAGTTGTTCTTTTCCAATGTTGTCTTTTTTCTTGTCTCTGTTTGTTTCAGACATCTTTTGAGCTGATTTCTTTTTGCATTGGAACAGTAAACGGTAAAGTGAATAGTCCCAAACCTGGTGGTGGAGCTCGGAGTTTCACGTTCAAGGAGTTAGCTGCAGCTACCAGAAACTTCCGGGAAGTGAATCTGCTCGGCGAAGGAGGTTTTGGGAGAGTTTTCAAGGGACGTTTAGATTCAGGACAAGTCAGATCTCTCTCTCTCTCATAAATCTTTTAAAGAAGAGAAACTCTGTTTTTATGAGAATGTTGATGTGATTTGATTAAATTGATGATAAATCAGGTGGTGGCTATTAAGCAACTGAATCCAGATGGGCTTCAAGGAAATCGAGAATTCATAGTAGAGGTTCTCATGCTTAGTTTATTGCATCACCCAAATCTCGTTACATTGATCGGTTACTGTACTTCTGGTGATCAGAGACTTCTTGTCTATGAATATATGCCGATGGGAAGCTTAGAAGATCACCTTTTTGGTTGGTTACTCAACTGTATTTGTTGTTACAAGTGTTTTGTTATCTATCATTTGAGGGTTTTCAATTTCAGGTTATGATTCTTTTTGCTTGGTTTTCAGATCTTGAGGCACATCCAGAACCATTAAGCTGGAATACTCGAATGAAAATCGCGGTTGGTGCAGCTCGGGGAATAGAGTATCTCCACTGCACAGCTAACCCGCCAGTGATTTACCGCGATTTGAAGTCTGCAAACATATTGTTAGACAAAGATTTCAATCCAAAACTCTCGGATTTTGGACTGGCGAAACTCGGTCCAGTAGGTGATCGAACTCATGTATCAACCCGTGTCATGGGAACCTACGGTTACTGTGCTCCCGAGTACGCGATGAGCGGGAAACTAACTGTTAAATCGGATATCTACTGCTTCGGTGTAGTGTTGCTTGAGCTGATTACTGGGAGAAAAGCTATTGATTTGAGTCAAAAGCAAGGGGAGCAGAATCTTGTTACATGGGTAAGTAACTTTACTACTAAACCTGGATTAAACTGTAATTCAAAAAGTTCCTAGCCTCGTTATAACCAAAGTTTTCTTGTCTCTGCAGTCACGTCCCTACTTAAAGGATCAGAAGAAGTTTGGACATATAGTGGATCCGTCTCTACGAGGAAAATACCCAAGACGGTGTTTAAACTATGCGATTGCGATAATCGCAATGTGTCTGAACGAAGAAGCTCATTATCGACCGTTTATAGGTGACATAGTTGTGGCACTTGAGTACTTAGCCGCACAGAGCCGGTCTCATGAAGCTCGAAACGTCTCGTCCCCATCACCGGAGGTCACAAGAACGCCGCGACGACGAGACTTGTAAAAACACAAGAAAGAAAGTCTTGAGCTTTTAAGTATTTCAGTTTGGTGTTCTGTAAGTATTTCAGTCTTGCTCAGAAAACAATATATTTGGTAAATGTTTTGTTTTTAGATTCTTATACTTGTTTATCCCCTATGATGATGTATATGAGATATGGCAATTATGGAGACAAAAAACAATTGAAGTTCTTTTATATGTACCTATATTTGAAAACCGCATTACAAAGGAATTTCAGAAAATAAAAGCCAATCTTCAATTTCTCAGGAAGAAAGGATCTTTACATGTTCTCGTCTCTGGTGAGGTTTTAAAAACAAAACCCAAAGCACCTCCTAGTAATCTTAAAAAAAAAAAACAGATAAAATTATGAACAATTGTAACAGAACACAAAAGGTGTTATCTTTTGTATCCATGTCCTAAAACGCTTCTGTTTCTTCTTTCTGTCACTGATTTGAGGTCAGTGCCATAAACTGTATTCTGTAGCTGAAGAACGTTCAGGGAATTGATGAGAAGAAACTTGAAGCAAAAGCTTAATAGTTTGACTTGGTGTAGTTCTGCAGACATCTACACACTCTTCTACATCTTCATCACAAGTCAACAAAACCCATTCATTGTCTTCGTCTAAGTACTTTAGATCATACCTGCTCATATCCTCTATGCTAAACCGCTTTCCAATCTCCCACAACAGATCTGTTAACTTGCGTGAATTCCTCATCCGGAGTCTGATCTTCTCTTCTCCGTAACTAACTTTAATCCTTAGAAAGTCATCATCTTGAGATGATATCAAGTTGGTCCCTTGAGGGACGTTTTCTAAACTGGAGAGAGTCAATATTGTCTCGTCAAGACTCGAACTTTGAAGCTCGATTTCGCTGCTCGTCTTCTTCAGTAAACCTCCTACATCAGCTGAAGCAGGATCTGTTGTTGCCCCGCTGTTTAGTTGGGTTTCGCTGGAGCAACATTGGCTTGAGTTTGAACTTTGGCTATATGAGGAAACAGGGGACTTTGCAAGCTGCACTGGCGGTGGAGGAGGAGGGGAGGTCTTGGCTTGTTGTGATGGTTCTTGTGACTGTGAGACTAAATTTGGGAAATTTGCATAGAAAGAGCCTATGGGAAGAGGACCAGACACACCTTGAACCGAATCAATCACCCGTTGAATCTTCTGCAGTGAATGTCCCACTTTCTTGATCTTTCTTGACGGCCATCTCTGTATACCATGCTGTCTGCATATTCTCTTCAAGGTCGTTGGACAAACTGATATTTTCCAAGACAAACAGAAGTAATCAGTCTTAGGATTTCCGATAAATTGAATGAGAAGATAGAAAAAATGCTGCTTACCACCAATATTTTTGGCTGCATCTTTCAAGCTCCCTGCAAAATACTGTCGAAGAACATCCAAAGTAATGGTTTTATCTGCTTTTGTGCGCTTTTTCTCGGCCATCATACTGAAACCGCCACTAGAGAATGTGCCACTCTCATTGACATTAGAATCCATGGTGTAGTCAAAACCTCTTTTTAAGCCAAACCCATCATTTGGTTTGTCTCCATCAAATACCAATCCAAGATTCTGAGAATTACTAGTATTATTACTCTGGATTTCTTCAAGAGAGGCGCTCCATGGGGAATTATCGTGGAGGTGTTGTAGTTCCGATGCGTTTTCTATCTTTGGCGTTACTATATCCTCCCTTTCTATCACTACACTCTCTTCTTCTAGTTCTTTATCTGTAACAGTCCTTAAACTTCTAGGCACATGAGCCATAATAGTTGAAAGGGCATTCAACATTTTCCTCTGTTCCTCCAGATCATCGCAGTCTTTGGGCAAAAAGAACTCCAAGACAAAATCAGCAGAGCCCGTGTGGATGCAGCGCAGACGAATTGCAACAGCGCCATGTAAACCATACATATTAGCGTGGTGAGAGAGAGGGTACTCTGATTTCTTGTAATTAGATACATCAGACGAAAAGCAAGGACCATTGGTCATGAAGGCTTGACCTGCAACTCCTTGGCCCTTCAAGAGGTGATGCTCAGAGCAAGCTTCGTGGAACTCGCGGACTGTTGGATCACCAACATAGCACGCATCCTCAATGGTTGATACGCAATGGATGTAGTTCTCATCGTTGTGACGGCACCCGCTTTTGTTTTGCTGAAGACAAGAGACCCATGTCTGAGCTAAAGGTAGTTTATGAGTCTCACAAGCACATCTCAAAAGGTTCCGGATTTCAGGTAACGCAGCTTTGTAGGATAAGTCACATCCCTGAATAAAAACAATCTTGTTTAGACCAAAAAATCAGATCTAACAAGCTTATGTAGTTTCTTTGGTTACCGTTAGAGAAGCCGGGATCGGAAGTTCAGTGCTCCTAAGATCAACTGCCTGTGAAAAGGAAACACATTTATCCCTCTCAGAAAACCAATTCAATAGCAATTAGCAAAAGCTAAAATCTTTAGAGAAGGACACAAACCTGAAGTGCCTTGCAAATGCTTTCAAGCTCAGGTCTTAGTTTAACCATCTCAGTGGTCATTACAACCTCAATAACCCCTAAGCAAATCTTACTACCTTGTTCAAACACCGGAATCGCTAGCGTTCCACGGACACCGCAGTCCTGTGCGTGGTGTACTCTCGGATACTCCTCGCTCTTGAAAAACCTAACATCAGGAGTCCATTCAGGAAGCTTACCCAAGAAAACCCTTCCAGGCAGACCAGCTAAGGCCTTGGAATCATCTTGCTCAGCAGAGAAGTGATAATTCACAGAGATCTCTCTGTAGTTTGCAAGTCTTTGACACATCGGATCGTGGCTAAAAGGTTGTTCCTTTGTGGTCAAAACTCGCTTACCGCCTCTGTTAACCGGAACCCATAATTGTATAAGTGAGCCTCTCTCTGTTGTATAATCTTTAATGTGTTCAACTGCTTGAACCAATCTCTCAGTAACAGAACCACCACCTCCTGGTCCAATCCACCATCTTTTGTTCCATTGAAAGTCATCAAGACTGGATCTTTCTACACAGTCCTGACCGTACATCGTAGATACTACTCCTGATGTGCAGATTGCTGAAGTATCCTGAGTTGGAGACCACATGAAGGAAGAAGGATCAAAAGGGCTAACAGAAGAAGTTGAAGGAGCTACGTTAAGAAACTCAGATCCATCTGTTGTCTCCAACCAACAACCATCTAGTAGCAATCCATCCATGAACTCAGAATCCATAACCGCGTTCTCAGTTTGAAGAAAGCTATCTTCCATGGATATGTAGTTTGCTTTTCAGTGAAGCACCATCTGAGAAAACGAAACATCCATTTTCAACAAGTTCCAAAAACAAACAAACAAAAAGGTCGAGATCGAGCTGTTTTTTGTGTTCTTCATCTTGTTGCTTACATTTTCAGAAATCAATAGGACTCATGAATATCAAATTCTCACCAACCGACAAAGTAAGGAAACTAAAAGGCACAACATGAAACATTTTGGGAAAACAGGAATCAAGCACTAATCTTGCCTAAATCAAATTCATAATGACAAAAATAAAGAATCCAAAGTAGAGACACACACAAATAAAAACCAGATTCCTTCAAGCTGGTCAAACAATATGGCTCAATAGATACAAAAGTAACGAACTTTAAGCTAATCAACTTAGTTCTAAACGAAAAAAAACCAAAACTTTTAAAGCTTTAGGAGAGAAAAATAGAAAGAAAAAACTTACAAGAAAGAGAGAGATTCTCGAAGATTCCTTGTTCAAGTGGGGTTTTCTAAAAATCTGCCTCTGTTGCAAATTTGGTTGTCTGAGACAGAAGGAACAGATGAGAGAAGCAAAAAAAAAAATCCCAAACCAAAAGAGAAGAAGAAAAGAAAGACGTCTGATGGGGGCTTATGTGGTTGTATGTACTTCTTCACGGAAGATGGAAACAAAAATAAAAGAGGAAAATTTTATTTTAAAAAGCCTTTGAAAATGAATATTTGTGGATCGTTATCTCATTTCTCATCTATGCTTGCATTGGGACATAGCGAGAGACCTTACTGCGGATTTTGTTTTGTTTTTGGTTATACTTGCTTTCTCCTCATATATCATCAATCAACAACATTACAGACCAATCACTCTCTCTCTCTTCCAGGCTGCTTGCGTTTTTTATTTTTATTTTTGACTGGAGGGAGAGAGAGAGAGAATAGAGATGAGAGAAGATTCCTCCACTTTCTAGACAGAGAATGCAGACAGATTGGGAATAAACAAAAGAGCAATACAACATGTCTTCTTGTGCAGTGAATTTTATATATTTTTACCTACAAAGTCAAAACTTTTTATTCCCTCTTCTTTTTTTATATAGCAAATGTCACATAAAGCAATCATATTATATCATAAATAATTGAATTTTTATTATCAACTATGAGTGAAACAGTTAAAGCAATTTTATTTCCTTCTATATATGTTATAACACTTTTTTCTTATACGCTGACTAAAAATAAAATATTTTGTTTAATACAATCAGTGGTAGAATAAGATCCTAGTTTTATTTTTGTTTGTGTGAAAAAATCAAATATAATGGCTGAACGTATCTTTAAAATATACCATATCTGATTTCTAGTTCAAAAGTTTTATTTATAAATTGGAGAATGCTTCTTCAACAATTTTATAATTATTGGTGATGGATGACCAAAGAGAATCAATTTCCATTTTTAGGGCATTGTTGCTATTTGAGGACAAATTATAACAATTATTAATGTTTTATTTTTACAAATTGTACATCGAAAGTCGAAACAGGTCATTTTGTTAATGTACATGTTGGTATAATAATTATTGAAAATCAAAGAATTTTTAAAGGCCATTATACTGTTATAGCCTATTAATAGGCTTATTTGGAGAAGTCATATAAGTAAATAAAAATAAAAACCGAGTGGGGGGAGTAGGTTTGGTTCTTTCCTCAATTTGATCAGAAGAAGAACAAATATTTATCTAATCAAATTGACAATGAAAAGTAGTTATGTGTAACAAAAAAAAAAGTCTATATATAAAATATAATGGAGCCATGGAGGGGGTTGTATAACCAATAACATCTTCGGCTCGTGAATAGATTCCACCGCTAACATATAATACAATTTTTTGTTAGGCAAAAACCATTGGTTACTATATATGTATATATATAGGGTAATGTGAACTGAACTACTGAAGAGATGATACTTATAGGAGTTTAATTACCTGATTCATATTGATTAGTTAAAGTACGTCAATAGCATTATTAGACAATATGCTTTTGGCGGATGGAATGTGACACAAATAACTCAATCAGCAGAATTCAAAAAAGTCTTTATCTCTCATATGAATAAACGGGACAAAATGGGATGAACGAGACTCGTATGAATATAATGTCCATCCCTGTGAGTGAAACTATACGTAAACAGGAATAGGTTTATATACACGCAAGTATTTCTATCGAATATAGTAACAGCTAACGTAAGCTAAAAAAGGACTGAAACAAGTGGTGCATGACTGCGAATCCTCCACTTGGGTTTCTTTTTTGTTTGTAATACGTACGTACTGATCTCCCAATTAGGTATGCACTCCACGCGACCACATAAATTACTCAGTACTCTCAATTCATTCAAACTCATTTTCCATTAGTAAGTGTGTCACACTGTACATATCTTTTTGTTTGGGTCCTAGCTCCTGTAAACGAAAGTTGGGTTTGAACAAGGACATGATTATGAATAATATTTAATTATATATATAATATTTTGATATATATATAGTGAAATCAAAATTTACATTTGAAGTTTTCTACTTAAGCCAAGCAGGATAAAGCTAATGACCAACTTTTACGTGTATTTCAGATAGTACACGTACGTAGTGTTAAGATCTAAATATTACTTATCTTTAAGTAATGGTCAACTTGGTTCTCTATATTGACTTCTGAATTGAATTATAAATATAAGAGAATTATAAAATTAAAAGATATTTATGTGAATCGGAGCATGATTATATAAAGTCTCAAGCATTAAAAAGTTTTCGTTAGGTCACTCATATGGCCCGCTGGGAATTTTTATATGATTATTCTTCCTAAGAACCAAAGATGCAACAATCCTTCCCATACTTAATATATATGCATGTTTCCTTCAATATGAAGAAATCGGTGACAGACCATCTTAAAACTAACTATCTATCTTTCTCTAGCTCTTTCCTCTATATATGGATCAGAAAACACTCTTTCAAGGAGAGACTGCGAATTACAAGGTTCATTCAATATATACAGGCCTGAATATATATATATATATAAATATATATTGAATTATGGATAAACTAGATACCATGATACTTGAACATCTGCAGAAACAAATTATATGGCCACATCCACATGATTCCTTGATTAGACTTTGTTTAAGCTGTTGAGATTTGAGTCCCAACGGTTAAGAGTGGTATATACTAGTTTATAGCCAAAAAAGAAGAAGCCAATAATTAGTTTGCAATGATAAAGAAAGAAAATTAAACAGCCAAAATAATCAGTGAGAGAATAGAAAATAATTCCACACAATATGAACTAAATAATTGCAAGGAGACAAGCTTTTCGGGGGAACCAAGAAAATTAAAACTTTGTAAAATACAAAAGAAGATTCTGATTACACAATTTTTAATTACAAACTAGGCAAAATAGAATCTCTTTTCATAGGGTAACGAAAACGTATAAACAAAGATTAAAATTTCGAACATTGATATAAGAGAAAGAGATCCCTTAATATATAATACAGAACAAAATAAGAAAGATGCAAAACAAGATTAAGAACGAGAATCCATTATATATTATAAGGTTGGCGGAATCAATTATCTCCCCACGTCAAATAATTGTGATAATTTTTGCACGATCTTGGGGTTTAAGGAGTTATATAAAACCTTATTGGTATTTTGGGTACGGAGATGATATAATTAATATGTTGAGTACATATTTGGTTGGTAGACATAGACGTTGGGCCAGCGAAATTATATGCTTTGCATTGTACACCTCAAGACCTTTAGATATTTTTACATGATTACTACATTTTTATCGTTTTGTATAGTTCCGTCACATGCAATCAAAGTAAACTAGTCTTCTTGATTTCGTCATCAAAGATATTGACTTTTCCTAAATGGATCCCAGATCTTGTTTACGACAACCTAAACACGTTAAATTTGTATTTTTTTTGTTAATTAATCTTCAAAGTTATTCATTTTATTATGTATAACATCCTGGACCATTAGCCGATACCATTTCAATGAATAAGTAATATTCTAAGATGTGTAACTTTGATCTAAAATCTTGTGACTACAACTTAACAAGTTGTTTAGCTTTATCTATTCTTTAGTGAAACTGAACACTGTATTTTTTAAACACTGTGTAGACCAATACAAAGAGAGATCACTATATATGCAGTTTTAACCAGTTAAAAGTATATAATATACGAAACTACAATTATGTACATGAGAAAGGATGGATATTGGTGATTGAGACTTTAATAATTTTGTGGCTTCATGTGCCTAATTTCTGATTAGAGCTAAGGTTCTCTTTAAGAATATAAATTACTGGACGAGACATCAGATTAGTCAGACTGTTTTAGCTAATTAAAGTTTAGAACAACGAGTTATAATTAATAGCAAAAGTTAAAACTGGTCTGGCTCTCATTATTCTGTACTATTTCATAATTTCCACTAAGCTAAGGGAATAATCAAAAAAAATATACTCCACCCCTCCACTATATAAACAAATTATATAAATTGTATGAATGCGATCTTGCATCATATCGATGACCAATTAAAAGGTCTGACGTGATGACTATTCCAATTTATCACAACTATGGACAGAGAGACAATAAAACTTTTTATCATGATCGTGCGTCTGACATTTAGTCCACAATACAAGTTCCAACTAGTATAAAGCTCACGTCATAGATGCAAATCCGGAAGAATAATAGTATATAATACCACACACTAAATCGAGTAAAATACAAATAAAAATCTATTTTTGAGTTGAACCAATGGGGGTGATAGTGATACTGATACTACTGATTGAGCTATGTTACTAGTTTATTACTGTATTATTTGCCATCGGAAATATTTGTTGTTAATATTTCCAGGAGAAGATTATAAGCAGGAACAAGTACCCTTCTTTAAGAGTTTCATTTTCAATGTTATTATTTTAATTATCTATTACCAACGAGTTTACTTTGAAACCAAAGCGTAAAGAGGAGAATATTGGTTTAGACGATTTTACTTAAGTCTTGAGAGATGGTATCATTCAGATATTTGGCCTCACGTTAAGACGAGTAGCTAATTTCTGTCCCAGAGATTTGTCTGCCTGCGACCAATAAGAGATCCAAATGCTGCGGATTTCGTGTGTCACACGAGGCTCCGAAAGTGCTTCAACAAAACGCTTCAAGAACCGCTCTTGCCTATTGTCACCAAACAAAAGACTTTTAGAAGTTGTGAACTGTGAGCTTGTGGATATTGCAGAAAGGTTTTGGATTTTTTTAGTCTTTACCTGTCTGAATCCCAGGACCGGTATCTCTCTCCTGGCTGCTTGAAGTTATTCTCCTTCCCAATGATGCACTGCGATATCAAGAAGAAAGTCAAAAACATTCAAATTTCATAATGTTGAAACACTTAGATCAATGTTAAAGTAAGGCATGGAGAGGAATCTGACCTTCTCACGATTTCCAGAGCAGATAATAGGAGTTGCAGGGAACTTTTGAGCATGACGAACCGGATCCATCCTTGAAGGGAAGTAATTGACCTGGAAAATAACAGACTCACTTTATAAAATGCTAAAATGATTATAAATTTATATATCTGAAAGTTTCCGGAACTGAGTACCTCTTCATCCCGGTGCATGAAGTTCATAAAACCTTCATGGTGATTGTTGTGGTGAGCACATTTAGGGGCATTGACAGGCAGTTGCAGATAGTTTGGTCCAAGACGGTGTCTCTGACTATCAGCATAGGAGAAGATCCGGGTCTGGAGTAGTTTATCATCTGAATAGTGGATGCCTGGAACCACAAGAGCAGGACAGAAAGCAATCTGTTCGTTCTCATTAAAGAAGTTGTCGATGTTTTTGTTCAAGACCAAGCGGCCAACAGGTTGTAGAGGCAAGATATCTTCAGGCCAGATCTTAGTGACATCAAGCGGATCGAAATCGAATTTGTCTTCATGGGCAGGATCCATCACTTGAACAAAGAGATCCCACTGTGGATAGTTCCCGGCTGCAATTGAGTCATACAGATCTTTGGTGGCATGGCTGTGATTGGAACCTCCAACTTTGATAGCTTCCTCATCCAACAAGCATTTAATCCCACAAGTCGGCTTCCAGTGGAATTTCACATAGTGAGCTTTTCCAGCTTTGTTGATTAGCATGTAAGTGTTGACCCCAGCGCCTTCCATGTGCCTGTAGTCCTGAGGGATACCAAGATCATCAAAGAGGAAGGAAAACATGTGCAAACTCTCTGGGTGGTGGGAAAAAAAGTCCAGGATCCTCCAGTTCTCCTGAATGTGAGATTTGGGATTCGGTTTCAATGCATGGACCATGTCAGGGAATTTCATTCCATCACGGATGAAGAAGACAGGGAAGTTGTTCCCAACAAGATCAAAGTTCCCCTGAGTTTGCAAACAGAGGATAAGAGGAATCAATAGAGTTCGGTATGATACACAATGAATCAAATGGTTGTGAAACAAAATATATGGGTAAATAAATGTTCTAAACTTCCAATATTAGCAAACATCTACTTGATTAGACAAAAGAGACAGAGACAATGAAAGCTAACCTCTCTGGTGTAAAACTTAACAGCAAAACCACGAGGATCCCTCAGAGTCTCAGGGCTGCCACGCTCATGGATCACAGTTGAGAAACGAACGATAACAGGGGTCTGAACACCAGGTCCTCGAAGAAAATCAGCAGAAGTAAGTTGTGTGATGTCATGAGTGACTTCAAAGAAACCCTTTGCACTGGCTCCCCTGGCATGAACAACCCTCTCAGGAATCCGCTCCCTGTCAAAGTTGGCGATTTTCTCAAGTAGATGATAGTCCTCGAGAAGAATCGGACCTGAAAGCAAATAAAATCATTGCTTCACATTTCTCACACTGGAAGAAGAATATCAGATTTAGCATACAATCTGACGTAAAAAGGTTGATTCACGCAAGTCCACAAAATGAGTGATAAACGTTGATCACAAATCTTTGTCTTCCATTACTAGCATCAAAGGACATTTCAGACAATCACCGGTTCAACCTATCTGCTAGTATAATTGTTTAATCTGTATTGGAGAGCTAAAAAAAAATGTTAGAGAGGCAGACCTCTGGTTCCGACAGTCAAAGAGGAGTTGTTGTTCCACACAGGAGCACCCGAGTTTGTAGTGAAGAAAGGGGAATCATGAGCGCTTGAAGGACGTACCTGCACACCCACCCAACAATAAATTCAAAACATAAAAAATAAACCAAATTCCCTGAGATTAGACAAAATGAAGATGATACTCGATAGATTAACAGTATCAGTAACTAGTATGATCGGATGTAACCAGATTCAACATGAACACTTCAAAACTAGGAAGCAACGTTACCAACAATATAAACTCAAGAGTCGTAGAGAAATGATCTACAACGTCAGCCAGCCTTAATAACATGAACAAGTGGGCTAATAAACAAACAATCAATAGAAGGAAATCATCTAGAATCCTTAGTAATTTTGTTTTAATATCTTAAACGCATGCAATCCCAAACCCGATCTTATGCATACTCAAATAAATAAATCTGATTCAAAAGACCCAAACCTCGGAGCAGTAGAACAATTACCCCAATTTTGTTCCATTTTAACCAGCGAATCATGTTACAAAGCAACCAAACCCACTATCAAAACTGATTCCGATTACAGAATTTTAGCTCAAACTACACTCAAATCGATACGAAACGGACTCGAAACAAATCACAGATTTCACAAAAAGGGAGCCGAAGAGAATCGATCTACGTAGCCTACCCTGTAAGGATCCATTATGCAAAGACGAGTCTGATCCGAAATTTTCCTTTGCGATTAGATAATTTTAGGTGAGACTGTTGGGGTACTCTCGCTAATCGGCGTGTGTCCAGCACCACCGCACTGTTGTCGTCTTTATAGCAGAGAGCCAAAAAAGATAAAATATCTTATTTTTAGTCTCAAACCCACCGCGAGATAATGAGAGACAAATTCTCGCCAATAAAACGTATTGTTTCTGGGAGGATAACGTGATTATCCAAATGATTACAGACGTCAAACTTATTACGTGTGGATCTTATCGCCTTTGATTTCGCCAGATACTCTTACCATTAATAGAAGTTGCCAAATTCAGGATTTTAATACATTTACACACAAGTCCATATTTTATTTTCCTCTATAGTTGAATTAACAATTATATGTAGATGGCCATCATAAATCTTGTAAAACGATTACTGCTTCAATAAACATTGATTTTATTATCAAGAGAGATTACAAAGACAGTAGTAACGAAGAAAAAAACAAGGGGGGTTTTAAGGAGGAGATTACAAGCATGCATTATTATTAATATTGACATGAAACAACAACACAGGTGAAATTATCTTTTTAGGGACTTAACGACCAAGCGATGATGGATCGGTGAGATTTGTGTACCTCATGGAGACTTTTAGCATATCTGGACATTGGTCTCTAGATGCTTGGCCTCACGTTCAGACGGCTTGCAAGTTTCTGTCCCAGAGATCGATCAGCCTGAAAGAGAGAGAGAGAGAGATATTATGATTGTTAGTTTTGCTCATAATGGAAGCCAGAGGTTTCACTTAGTTTGTGGTTTGTTTTCTTCTATACTGACCTGAGACCAGTAAGAGATCCAGATGCCGCGGATCTCGTGGGTGAGTCGTGGCTCTGACAGGATCTCAACCCATCTCTTAACGAACCGGTCCTGCCTGTCTGGTGCCCAGGATCTATACCTGTCTCCAGCCTGTTTGAAGTTGTTCTCTTTCTTGATGACACACTGCAGCATTAGCAATTTAAGGTTTTTAGTTAGCACACAGTTTTGAAACAAAAATTGACTTGAGGTTTCAAAGATTTAAAGGAGAAGGCATGGCAAGAATCGGGACCTTTGTTCGGATTCCAGTGTATGAGTTAGTAGGGATGGGAACTTTCTCAGCGCAGCGGACAGGGTCAAACTTTGAGGGGTAGTAATTAATCTGTAAAAGCAAACATCCGATTAGATTCCAATCCCAAAGTCTAAAGAGCAACCACTGTAGCTCAACTTGTAACTAAGACTTTACCTCCTCATCTCTGTGCATGAAGTTCATAAAACCTTCATGGTGATTGTTGTGGTGAGCACATTTGGGAGCATTGACTGGAAGCTGCAAATAATTTGGTCCAAGACGATGTCTCTGAGTGTCACCGTAAGCAAAGATCCTACACTGGAGGAGCTTGTCGTCTGAGTAGTAGATCCCAGGAACCACAAGTCCCGGGTTGAAAGCGAGCTGCTCAGTTTCGTTGAAGAAGTTGTCAATGGTCCTGTTAAGAACCAAGCGACCAACGGGCTGCAGAGGCAAGATATCCTCAGGCCAGATCTTGGTCACATCGAGGGGGTCAAAGTCAAACTTATCCTCATCCGCAGGATCCATAGTCTGGATGAAAAGTTTCCACTCGGGGTAGTTACCGGATGCAATGGCATCGTGCAAATCCTTGGTGGCGTGGCTGTGATTGGCTCCTCCAACGACCTTGGCCTCTTCGTCAGTCAGATTCTTGATTCCACAAGTTGGTTTCCAGTGGAACTTCACAAAGAGAACCTTTCCAGATTTGGCAACAAGAGTGTAGGTGTGGACACCGAAACCTTCCATGTGCCTGTAATCTTGTGGGATACCAACATCATCAAACATCCAGGTCCATGTGAGCAAACTCTCTGGCAAGTGGGACATGTAGTCCAAAATCCTCCAGTACTCTTGGATGTTAGTTTTCGGGTTTGGTTTCAGGGCATGGACAACGTCCGGGAATTGAATCCCATCACGGATGAAGAACACCGGAGTATTGTTCCCAACAAGATCAAAGTTCCCCTGAGTTTATTAAAAACATCATCAAGAGACATCAGTGCTGATTCTAAAGAAACTAAGAGGACAGATAAAAAATGGAAACTTGAAAATCTTATAGTAAAATACCTCTCTGGTGTAAAACTTGACAGCAAAACCACGAATATCCCTCATGGTTTCAGGACTGGCACGCTCGTGGACGACGGTGGAGAAACGGACAATAACGGGAGTCTGAACACCAGGGGCTCTGAGGAAATCAGCACAAGTGAGGTTTGAAATGTCATGGGTAACCTCAAAGAAACCCTTAGCACTGATTCCTCTGGCATGAACCACTCTCTCAGGGATCCTCTCCCTGGTGAAATTGGCAACCTTCTCGATCAAATGGTAGTCCTCAAGGAGAACAGGACCTGTCCAGAACGAAGTAACAAGTGTTAAAAAAAAACACACACATCACACTCCATTAACAAGATCCTAGCTTAAGACTCTAATTCTCAGATTCAACTCTTCTTCCATAGCTCCAACAGATCCGGTAAAGTACTAAATTTACAGTTGTGATTCTTTGAATTCAGAATAGAATAATATACCTCTTTCTCCGACGGTGAGGGAAGAGATGTTGTTGGAGACAGGAGCACCACCGTTTGTGGTGTAGAACGGGGCGTTGTAAGCGCTCGAAGGACGATACTGCAAACACCATTATTCGATCCATTATCAGCTACAACAATCGAAACGATTCGACAAGAAACACTCCACAAATGTTTTACTACGACAGATCTATAAAACCCCCAAAACAAATTATGTCGCAAACCGGAACAAATTAAACCCGGTTTCCTGGTCGGATCCGGGTGCTTCATTTCGGGCGCGTTTAGTTGACAAAGATGGTTTTATATTTGGTGACGGAAACAGTAACATGTCGGAGATAAGGGTCGTCGATGAAGTTTTATTTAATGCTTTTAGTGACTTCCTTATTTAAGAAAAACTAAATAATTGATACGTACAGTTTTGTTTTTATTTTCTTCGTCGGTATTGATCGACCGACAATGATTAAAACGAATGTTTTTGGGAAAACATTAATCATATATGTTTTTAGGATTAATTAAGTCTCGATGGTAATTTAAAGTATCTGTTCAATGAAACGTGTAGATTTGATTACTCAGCTCAGGTGTGTTTTGTGTAGATCTGAGAAATCATTTAGTTGATTAGTTACTCTGATTTATATCACTAAAATTCATATGAGGTCGGGGACTTCTAGAAACAACAAATCGATTACTCATTTTTGAACGTTCGATTTTTAGAACACATATGCGTGTGATTTAAAGAAAAAAAAAAAAAAAACCTTTCTACTTGGAAGAAAAAACAACATGTGGCGTGTCTTTATCATGCAGTGATTTAAGGATCAAAACGTTTTTAAAGATAGCCCAGCCAAAAATAATATAAAAAATAACATCACCAACTTAGGAGTTCACGCGATCATAGAATGAACTCAATCAAATCTTTGTGCCAAACAGAAAAAAGCATTTTAACACTAAGATTAAATTAGCATGATCAAACCAATTTGAAAACGAACGAGCATAGATGAACCTATTCGATATAAGATGCACGCACACACAACAACAACAACAACAAGTAAGAGTATGAAGAAGATACCTTGTAAGGATCCATGGTGATGAAGAAGCTTTAGTGATCCTCAAGTATATGCTTTTATGAGGAGAAACTTGGTTTAGTGGATAGTGTTGAGAACCTTTGTGAAAGTATATATAGTGAAACAGCGTGTGCTATGCACAATAATAATGGCTGCTCGCATTTACAAAGAGGGTAGTTTTGTCCTTTTAAGATCAATTTGTCGATACAGTAAAAATGGGCCATTGTGTTTACTTTTCCTTTGGTAATAAAACAATATTGCCCCCACTTAGATATTTTTCCCGTTTTTTTGCGCCAACCCCATAAAACAAAGATAAGAATAAGTAAAAATAAAAATATCGTTCGGTGATCAATAATAATTGCTGACCCCGACAAGTCAGCATTGCTCGTTGCTCTGTGTATTCTTCTCACGAGAGAAAAAGATATATCAATATCTTTCCTAAAAATCAATTATTGCGATAAAAAATCATCAGTTCTTATAGCACAAAATATCGATATTCATGTTCGGTTTTCCAAAAGTATACTATATATAACTTACGTACGTCTAATATATTGATTCGACATAGTGATTTTTTTACTATTTAGAAGAAAAAAAAAGGAATTCTGTTTAAATATAACTCAAATTAGAAATTACGTTCAGTTTCCATTTTGTTTATTTCCCGATTCGGATCGTACGATATCTATCAGTTCATCTATAGAATAGAAAAGTCTCCTTTCCTGATATACATGTTTGATCTTATCGTCTAGATACTCGTGTCTGACACAAGTTAATTGGAACTGTAGATCTTAAGGTTTCTTTGTTATACTTTATGTTTTTCTAAAGTACAGTATACTATATGTTTCCAAATTAATCAACGTGTGTTTACACCAGAATCTATATATGTATTTCTAAATACAAGAATGCGCAAAACATGCATGCAACTAATTATATACGATCAAACGATATATATAAACAGTTCGGTTTCATTAGCTGAACATATTTATGGGGAAGTTATTCACTTGACTGGGTGTTATATAGAAATTTTAGTCTTATCCAGTTTTGAGTTTGCGTACGGCTTTTAAATAGATTAATATTTATAGAACTATTTAGTAGTGAATTATTAATATAGATGATAATGAATCTTTAAATTATGGGCTGGAATATATATATGCTCATAGCAAATACAAAAAAGAAAGAAAGAAAGGTTGAAGTGACATTATTGAGTGGGTATGGTGGGGAGTCGATGTATGGTGGGAGCATATTGTCGATTATTAACACGTTACTTGGATGATATGATGAACTGATCCACATTTCTTGATTGAGGGCAGTCACACACTTGGGTCCCTTTTATTTTGAACAAGTTGTTCTTGTAACTTAGCTTAGTTTCAAGATTATTACGACAAAGCTAGGTACAACAATCAACAGTAACATACTATTCTCATAAAGTTGCAATCATTAGAAGACAATCTTCATCTATTCCTGCGTCTCACGAATTAATTTCGTATTATTTTTATGTTTTGAAGACTAATCGTTTGTT